GTGACTTTTTACGTCGACATTCATCCTGCAGGTCACTTCAGGACCGTGGCCATCATCTAAACCATGAAAAAGAACATCTCATTTCATAATTAAAGTTAAAAATATCAACTAATAACAGCAATAAACCACTGACTGGCCATCAAGAGCTGCAAGATTTCCATTTTCATGGATTTTTTTCTCCAGTTATTAATGAACTATCGTATTATAGTATATATAATATGTGTTCTGACAAAAAAAGAAAAACGTTCCAACCGTATGGAGCTGCACAAGGCCACAAGATGTGGTCGAAAGCTCCTCTTGAGTTGTTTTCAAGGTCAAGAGTGAACCGTCAAGCTTAATCATGAATGTAACCTGGTACAACTTTCAGGTGTGACACAAACTCATTATCTCTAAGACCCTTCTGACTGTCCCTTAGTGTCTACAGATTCCTCTAGGGGGTGCAGCTTTTTCTCTTCTCATCTTAAAAAGAGGAGCTGTATAAATCTCTGCTCATAACATACATACCGCATCCTCTATGTCAATGCACAGAGTCTGATTCTTCTCCATGCCGCTGTACAGTTCATTCAGGCCTTTGTATGGGCTTTTACAGTTTGTGCACAGCTCTGAATGGTTCCCCTGTGAAAGGAAAAAATGGAGAAAGGGACAACAGACATTATAGTTACCTTCTCAACATAAACTCATGATAGATATTAAACATCATCACCTAATTTATGGTGTTACCTCTTTATACTTCTCAAAACAGGTGAGAGTTTGGTTGTGGGTGGTCAAGAAGAACAGCGTGTCATTGTTCAGGCTCTGCCCTCCATTAGTGATACAGTCTGCACAGATGGTAATAAACACAAACATAAGTTAGGTCTATTTGTTCAATTAAAGTGGACTGTTTTGTCCAATATTATTTGAAGCAGATTTAATTTGTTTTAGTTCAACAATACAAACTAAATCAGCTAAAAAGGGTGGATGTAGAAACAAACTAGAGCTAAAACAACAGGTAGAATAATTCATTATTATATATTCACTATTTGGATAATAAATTAGATTCCATTGTGGTAGTAAACTGAATATCTTGTTGTTTTGGAGAGTTGGTCGTATACGTAAAACAAGCTAGACTTCACCTTGGGCTTTAGGAAACTTAACATTTTTCACTACTTTCTACTTTCTCTACATGAAAACACAATAAATCGATAATGACACTAATAATTAGTTGCAGCCGTACACAAACCAAATGCTCACACTCTCCTACTGGCAGAAAACAGTGTGGAGATCCACCAAATCTGATGCAATTATCTCACAAAGTCACAAGCTTCTGTGATTCATGCTGGGTATCCTGGTGGCTGAGTAGTTTATCTAGTAAAACGACAAAGTCACATGTTTGACCTCTGCAACATCCAGTGTGTCCACTGCCGCTCCTACTTGACCCTGCACTCTGACCTCTGCGGTCAAATGTGTGTGAGTCAGGGGTTCAAACAAAGGCACAAATTCCCCACTGATAGAAACCCAGATAATTCACATATGTCTAAAACCACCGGGGGTTTTAAATTCCTGCGGAGGACTTACTGTCACAGGCCGATTTGGTCCAAATGCCCATCAGGTTGCTGTACATCAGGTAAACCAGCATCAGCCGGTCACTGCGCAGAAGGCTGTCCCTGCAGCTCACATTACCAGGACCCTCCTGAGGACAACACAGGCACACTTTATCATGCAGCCAGTCAACTCCTATGCATACATGTGTTTGCACTGCATTTAGACCAACAGATCAGCTATAGAGAAATGCGTTTAAGAGCTATTAATAGTCGAGTCAAACAGACGAATTCGTGTTTCCTCATATTTGTCCCCAGCAGTCAGTCACATCACAAGACTCGTGATCATGAGACAAGTGTGTAGACGAGGCCTGTCCTCTTTAAAAAAAAAAAAAGGAAGCAGACCGGACAGACTGCGGACTAAAAGCACAGGAAAAACGGACTTTGTATGTGTTTGTGCTCGTACCTGGTCTGATGAGATGTTTGTGTAGATGTTCTTGAGACTGCCAAAGCTGGAGTAACAATTCTGGCAAACCTTGACAGGTCGGGCGGCGGGCACCAAGCACTTCACATAATCGACATACAGCTGTCCGAATATGTGGAGCAGGTCGCTGCAGTAGTCAGTGATCTCCGGGTCCTCGGGGAGAGAAGACAGGAGATTGAGGGAGAAGAGGGGATCCGCGGCGGGTTTAAACACTGGAGGCGAGTTGACCACAGTTTGTCTCGGTTTGTCCGCTGGATCTGAAGCGGCGAGGTTCACTCCATCGCCGAACACAGCGGGGTGAATGTTAAACACTACCAGAACCAGCAAACAGCTGTGTTTGTGGAGAGACATGGTTGGAAGCGATGATTAAAACATCTGCTGCTCTTCTTTCACTCTAAACAACCCATGGTTTCCTGGTTGGGCTCCCAACGCGATCATGTGACCGCCGGTAAATCTCGCGAGATAACAGCGCTACTGTAACTTCTCTTTACAGAAACCTCCATGTGGATTAAATACATATTAAACAACACACAATGGGCTTTTGAAAGCATATAATGTGACGACTGTAGTTTATACTTGTTGTATGTTTAGTGGTATAATAAATATATTTGTGGAAGAGTTCTTAAAGTCCCCCTCCACT